CTTTTTGAATTTTTTCTCGTTATTTTTTGATAACATTTTTGTTTCTTTGGGATTTTTTTGATTTAATAAATTTAAAACGAAAAAAAAATTGAATTTCTCATAATAATTTTGATTTAATTGATTTTTTCTAAAAAAAAATATTTTTTTTTATGTTTTTTAAAATTACAACTTATAACAACTCTGATTGTGTTCAATTTAAATGAAAATTTTAATAGTTTTATTTGGCTAGGTGTTGAAAACTTTAAAAATTTAATAATAATTCAACCTTAATCAGTTCAAGTCAATGATTTGGTTTGTATTCAATAAATTGATTTAAAATTAAAATATTTTTTTAACAAATCATAATTTGTTAAAAAGTTTCAAAAATAAGATATGACTGCAGATACCATTAATTTTTTAAAATACTTGTTCGTCGGAAATTGTGAATTAAATACTATAGAAATTGTTAAATTAATTTTCTTTCAAAATGCATTTATGTCGAATTTAGGTAATATTTACAAATTGCATTTACCGTTTATAATTCAGTTAAAATTTTTGTTTTAGAAATTTATATAGAAAGTTATTATGTTGTTTCTGTAACACTACAACATTGTTTACATTAAAATTGTGGTAACATTATTAATACAATCGCAGCATTCATAACACATTTTAGAAATTGTAGTGAAATAGAATGCACGTCTAGAAATTTATTCGGAACTTGGTTTTAAATGGCAATTATCCATTTATTGAATAGTCAGTATTCGTTCATCGAAATTCGAATTTCATGAAAATCGAGAAATTATTAATATATATTTAAATATTATTAATTATTTTAATAAATATTTAAAGCTCAACACTTTCACATCTAATAATTTATAAAATTATCATTTTTTATAACACCAGTTCGATAATAATTTTCTGGTTTCCTTTTTGAAACAAATGTTAAACAAGTTGAAAAATTTGATTTTTTAATTAATAATATCAAATTTTTTTTTAATTTTAATTTCTTTAGAATTAATCTTTAGAATTAATCTTCTTATAATTTTTTTTAAATTTTAATTTGATTTGTTCAAGCGATTTTTAACTCATTATGGATTTTTTCTTCCATTATATTTATATGAAAAATTTTTTTTTTTAAAGTTTGAAATTTAAAAAAATGTCCGAATATGTTTTTCTATGTACTGTATATATGTGTGTCTGTTTCAATGACGACTTGTATATTATATGTAAAATGACTTGTCTAAATTCTTTTTTATTAAATTTCATCAAAAAGTATAATAAAAAAAAAAACATTTTTTTTTCGAAATTTTTTTCTTAAATATCATTTTGATATAAATTATTTTTTTTTTCAATATTTCATTCTGTATATATTATATAACTATAGTATTATGCATAATACAATTTACTTATCCATATGTAAGTATTTTGGATTTTTATATATATATATAATATTAAATTTAATATAAAGAGACTATATATGTGTTACAACAGGGATTATTTATTATAATGGTTAAAAGTTAACAGGCATAATATTACAATATATGGTCATGCAGTTTAAAAAATTAAAATATATTTGTAATTACTTAATTTCAAGAAAAATATTATTCTATATAATTTATGTATTTATTAAATACGGTAATTTAAGAAATAATAATATTAAATTAATTTAGAAAACAAAAAATACTACATAATATTATTATACGTACATAAATTAACTAAGTACTTACAATATACAAATTTAGAAATTACTTAAAATTTATTACTCGAGTAATATTTTAATAGTAAAAACTTGAACGCTTTAATACTTACCCAATATACTTATATGAACATAATTATAGACAATAATATTGTACATACATAATTATAGCTCATAAAATGCAAATTTACCTTTGTTAATTGTGTATGTTTTCCGATATAAGCGCGGTATATCTAGACACCGTATTTATCTTGCCCATAAATTACTTTATATTGCTCATGCCTCTGTTGCATTTTAAAATTAAAATATTTATACTCTGTACGAGTAATTAGGCTCATTTTAAGATGAATTTAAAAATAAATCAATAAAATAAAAATGGAATTTTAACTGAAACTTCAAATTATTTAAAGTGAACTTTAAAGCGAACTTTAGTTTAATGCATATTTCCGGTGGGAAACATCACCCTCCAACCCAACCGCAACCCGTTTTTTAAGCATTATAATAAAAAATACTTCAGCAGCTGTAACACATTTAAAATGCATAAATATTTTTAATATTAAAAATCAAAATTAAACTTTTTCTTTTTGTTTTTTTAATTTCTTATATTATTAATTATAATTATCTTTATTTTTTGTTGTTTTATAAAAAAAAAATCCATTGCCTTGTAATGACGACATTATGAGAATTTTACATTTTGTTTTTTTTTAAATTTGTTGTTTTGATTTTTTTGGAATTTTCCTTTATTTGTTTATTTGTATTCGTTTTTTTTCATTCCTATAATTTAATATATATATGTATATACATATATATTATGTATAATATATTAACATTAATATATAGAATTATATAATATATATATTTAATAATAATAATTCAATCAACCTTAATATACAAAATCTTATTTATTCATTTTTTTTATATATTTTTTAATATTTTTGTAATTAATTTTTATTTTTTCTCTAAAAACTTTAATTATACATTTAATTTTTAAATTTGTTTTTTTGTTTTTTTTTTTTTATATTTTAAAAATTTAATAATATTAAAAATTGAATTTGTTGTACTAATATGAAATGAATAAGAAAAAAATTAAAATAAATTCTATTACAAAATCAAAATTTAAGGTTTAAAATTATTCACATATTAATTATTTTATTAAATGTACTACCCATATTGTGTTAGCCGCATCAATTGCGGGATTGATGGGATGTGTTATTGAAAATTTTTTTAATTTTCAGTATTGAGTTTCAAATTTTCAAATCCATTTTAATCTGGAAAACTTTGAAATTTTTGAATAACAACCCAGTCACATCAAGTGTTTACAACAAACAGAATATATGGGTGATAATAATCGTATTATTAAATAAATATTAAAATTTATATGATCAATATAGTTTTGTTGTCATTTTTTGAATGAAAAATTTCATTTTAATTTTAGATCAATGGGAAATTTTTAATTGAACTTATACGAAATCTGATTTCATCAAGGATCCATGTGGCAGACAATCGCTAATATTTAAATATTTTTAATTACAATTCATTGCTGAATAATTAAATTGGTTTTTAAAACAATTGATACCAGACAGGTCTTTGAGTGGCAGATTACAAAATATCTACATTACAAGTGAATAATGTTGTTAATGCAAAGAATTGTACTCCGAACCAGTTCAAAGTTACCTTATTTTATTAAAGTATTTGTATATGAAATGAAAAATGTATTTTTTTTCCATAACTTAACAATTTTGAAAAATTCCCATAATATTGTATGGAATATGTAAACATTTAATTTATTATGATCTTTTTATTTTTACTACAGAACTTCCAATATTATGTTATTAAGTTATATTTATTTAAAAAAAAAAGACAAAAGCATAATTTCATAATATAATTAATTTCAGTTCTGAATATTAAAAATTAACAGAAATTAAAATTAAAAAACATTTTTAAAGTAATTTAAAAAAATATTGATTGTATTATAATATTTTTTTTCATGTGTAAATATGAATGATTTTCATTTTTGAATGATTTGATTACTTTTTAATTTTAATTTTTTTTTCTTTTTTTTTTAATTTTAATAAATGTTTATATAAATTTCTAACACCTATACATGAAGATGAGAACAAGAAGATTTTTTTATTTTGTATATTTTTTTTTTATATATTTTTGTTTCAAATGGAATTTTAATATATTTTTTTTTTTTTACATTTTTCTTCAAAAAACGAAAAAAAATAATGGAAAATAAATTTCGCAGTCGTTTAATAAAATGTTAAGAAAAATTTTATTTTAATTATTTTATATATTTTCTTAATATTATATATCATTAATATTTCAATTTCTATATTTTTGATCTTCTTTAAAAAATTACAAAAATTTGTTTTTCTTTTTTAATATGAAATTAAGAAAAAAATTTATTAAAAAAAAATTATTTACTAAAGTTAATTACTAAAGTTAAATACCCGCTGTCAAAAACTTCTCATGTATTAAAATGCGTTTCCAAAAGAAAAAATACAAAAATCAAGTAGCCAGAGCTTTAGTCAATACGGTTAGATTAGGATAAAATTTTTGGGTCCCGCTCTATGATAATTTAAAACAAGAGTATTTTTTTTTTTTGGTTTATATAATCAAAGTCAATTTTTTTAATAAGCATTTAAATCAAAAATCTTGAAAAAAAATTTGAGTAAAGCTTACATTTTAAAATTTTTTTCAATTAAATAAAATCCAAAACCAATATAATAATATAAATTCAAAACCAATATAATAATTAAAAACTCATACTTAAAACTCGCTTCCCAGTATGTCACAAATTTGACGATCATGTTTATCACGTCATTCACTTGAATTTGCAAATGGTAATTATTTGCAATTTAGCCATTTTCGCATTACATTATAGTAATTAACATTACAAATCTACAAATTTAAATCTGTACTGGGAAACGGCCTTTATATATGTAGATTTAGACCAATTTGATTTGATCATAAAGGAATATATTTTGCAAAGTTGTAAAATTTTGAAATTAAAATTTTTTAGAAAACTGGGAATATTAATTGTTATTGACATTTTCTTGCTCATTTCTCTTAAATACATGATAAAAAAAAATAATTATCAATAATTTTATAATAATTATCGAAAATTGTTAAAATGTCATAAATATACATATGGTTTATAATAATTGCATTGTATTTCATTTAACAACTTAAAAAAAGAACAATGTTTAAACAAAAATCAAAAACCAAAATATGAAAACCAAAATATTTAAAAGAAAAAATTAAACTTTATTTAATTTTCTTACAAATTCTTCACTTTTTATTAACATATTTATATATATATATATATAGCATAAATTTATATATAATTAATTACATATTACATTAAATGCTAAATTTTTTTTTAATATTAAAATGGGTTAAAATGTATAAAATCTTAGTAATTAATTAATTTAAATAGAATGAAAAAAAACAGGATATTTTCTAAACTAAAACAAAGGCAAAAAATAAAAATAAACAAAAAAGTTTGTTAAATAATAAAAATTAAATAAATTGATTACTTTCTTTTATTATTCATAATAATTTTAATGCAATTCTCAAATTCTTAACTATTTTTTTTTTTTGTATTTTGCTTTCATAAATATTATAATTAATTATTTAATCTGAAATTTCTAATAATTTTTCTCTTACACTGGTAACGTTCTTTTCTTCATTTTATTTCTATTTTATTACTTTCTATTTAGTATTTTATTAAATATTTTTTGCAATTTATTTTTAATTTTATTTTTTACAATTTTTCTTCCTTTAAAATCAAAATATTTTTAAGCTTTTTTTTATCTACCCATTATCATAATAATCTTATTTGCTTTACTGTTTTTGCATCATTTTTCTATCTCCACTTACTATTTTATATATAATTACTATTTTTAATAATTTTATTATAATATTGTTTAATAATTTAAATCATTTCTTTGGAACCCACTGTTATTGCATATATATATATATAGGTATATATAATTTTGGTCTAGATCTGACTTAACAAAAATATTAAAAACTGAAAAAAAATTATAATAAAACAGGAAAAAAAATATAAAAATCTTTGTTGCATTCTATTATAACCTATTCTCTAAATTTCGTATTTAATTTTTAAAAATTTTTTATTTTTTGTTTTGTTTTGTTAATTAGCTCATTAATTAATTTTTTAAATTTTTAATTTCATTAATATTAAAGTTTTGTAAAGTTTACGGTAGATTTTAAGTAATATTCTTTTCTTTTTTAATATATATTGAGAGTGACGTTTGCTACATATTTTAATTTATGATATTTTTAATATTTCTTTCATCATATTTTTTATTCAATTTTATTTTTGTTAATATTTCTTGTTCTTGTATTATTTGATTTTTTGGTTGGTGTTAAAATATTTTCTTGTTTGCTATTCAATTCATTTTTCTACTTTGTTAAAATGTTGTTACTGTTGATGGTTGTTTTGATGTTACTGTTTTCTTGCTTTCTTGTTTAAATTGTTTATTCTAAACGGGCTTTGTATGTTGTTTTCCAAATTTCAGCTAGTGTAACAGCACTATGGAAACGATGGAAAATGCATAATGGTAAAGTGACACGCTGAATTATTGACCATGGTACAAAACCATAAAATTCAAGTTGTACCTAAAAAACAGGTTATGATATATTAATAATCTATATTTTGATATTATTTATTTAAATTAATTGTAGTACAGTCTGCAAAATGTTTTAGGCAAAATAAAACTTTATATCTCCGCAGCAAAATGTACAAATATTTTCCAAAAAAAAGTTAAAAAAATTTATTGAGATTAATTATTTTCATATTATAAAATTAAAGCATATAGAATAATTCTTAGTGGTTTGTATATGGAAATGCGATCTTTGAATTATATTAAATGTACAACAATATATATAATAGAATATAGCCATTATAATAATTGTAAGTTTTTTATTTTATATTTGCATATCAAAAGAAAATAGAAAATTTAAGTAAAGCTTTACATACTAGTTATAGCATTTAATCATAAAATACTGGATTAATAATATTTATTATAATAATAGCACTACAATTTTGATTATAATTTTTTAAAGCATTATATTACATAGCGTTAAATATATTCGTGTTTCTGCTATTTCGAAATAGTTTTTTGTTTAAAAATACAGTAATTACCGCAGTACTTAATCGAATCCTTTCATTATGTCCTGTAATTTTTATTTATTTTTATGTTAAATATGCGATACTTACGGTATTCAAAGCTACTCTTTGTGCCTCAAATGTATAAATTGCAAACATTGATACATTACAAATTAATAAAAATGTTACAATTTGTCGTCCTGGTTTACTACGATCATGTTCTGGTAAATGTACACGACGACGAGATACATCAGCAATGAATAATAATTGTAATATGACTTGTACAACTGCAACAATACCAGTTGCCATGACTAGAAGATTTGGTTCACTTTCAAGGAATTTAAGGGAACCAGCAATAACACTAAATACTGAGTAAACGAATAATCCAAATGCAGAAATTCTTAATAAAATATCATTCAAGCTACTTTGTTCTTCGCAACGGAATTTCAAATTTTTAACCCTGCAACAAAAAAAAAAAAATAAAAAATTTTCACATTAATATGATAACACAAAAAATTTTGCAATATTAATTACCTTATAAAACCGATTATGATTGCTAAAATAGCAAATCCCATTACTGTGCAATGACTAACATCAGCTAGATAAATTGCTAGAAGTTCAAATTTCGCATGGCGCACCAGAACAAAGAATAGAATTAAACAAATCATTGAGCCAACTAGTAGCAATAAACCAAAGAATAATCCTTTTGATGATCCAACACAATCAACACGTCCAGTTCTAGCTTGTTGGGCCATTGCAACAGCTCTTCGTGATAGCATGACTTCCAATCTATGTTCTAAGTCTTCTTCATTCATATATCTGGGATATCTGCCAATGTGTCTCCACATAACATATAATACAACAGCACCAATTAAGGAATATTCAATGATGAATGGATACAAGTATGGAGCAGAATCGTAAACAATTGTTCCCATTATATCAATACGACCACATGCAGTTGAATTAATAACACCAATATTGGAAGTTAATGCAGCTGGATAAATATTATCGAAATTTTCATATTCTTCTAAACCAGTTTCGTCATGTGACAAACGTGAATAGGTTTGGAATGAATTTTCCATATTACCGAATAAGTTATTTAATACAAAACCTTCGGTTGTGGTGGTGCTGACATCAGATGGTGTTGATGAACCGAAACTTGAAATGAATGAGGATAAGCCACTTATAGGGTTTGATAGACGATCACCAGTTGTTGTTTCAGCACTTATTGGTGCTTCAGTAGTTGTTGTTGTTGTCGTGGTAGTAGTTGTTGTTGATGGTAACATTGTAGAAGCCATTGTTGTTGATGAGATAAATTTCTTGATTTTCTGTATCATAGTTGTGCTTGGTATCGAATACTCAGTAGTTGATGTTGTTGTTGGCATTGCTGTGCTTGTAGTTGTGGTATCATAACGACGTGTTGTAATATCATTATTTCCTTGAGCTAAAATAGGTGCAATTGTATCGGCAGTTGTTTTAACTATTCTTGATAATATTCCATCTTCATTGGTTTTATCATTGTCTAATGATTCTGAATCAAAAACTTCAAATTCAGCATTTGGTCCAATGTGAGTTTTCATAACTTCGCCTGCGTGACGCAAGGCATGACGGCGAATTGATCGTAATATCGGTGAGTTGTCATCGGATGGATTGTTTCTTTGATGATAAATTGTAATTTCGTGTAACGATTCTTTGACTAATGTACGTACCCAAACGCACAGATTTGTCGCAACAACATGCATTAGTCCAAAACGAGCTAATAGTTTAAAGCGATGAATATTAAGCTACAATTTATATAATTATAAAAATAATATTTACAATTTTTCCAAAAACAAATTCTTACTCTTGCATTCATGAAAATGAAGTACATTTGCATAAAAATAAAAACCATTTGCAAGAGAGGGTTGACTCCGTTTAATATGAAATGGCACTTAGATGTAAATGGTATTTCGAAGAATGAACCAAATTCTAATCCAACATAAATCATTGAGCCCAATCCAAAAGCTAAATTTTGAAAAATTGGAAAAAGCTTAATTAGGATTCATTTCCATTATATCATGTGAAATTACCAATTGCACCAACCCGTAAAAAGAAACTGCCAGTTGTATGATCATCTTGAGTCGTTTTGCGTTTTCGAATATTTTTCGGGGTGACTGCAGCTTCAGCTTCTACCTGAGTATCCTGCAATTCAAGTTTTTATTTCTATTTAGATCTATCAAATATTAAAAGCTCCCAATATTATTATTATTTCTGTAATGTCAACCTACTACGAAAACGTTATACATACTTATGTATATACATACATATTTAGTAAAGGCCAATACAAAGTCAAAACCTGATTGTTATTCACAACATGCAATTTAATTAATCCATCACTCTTATTAATATTTTTATTATATTGATCCTTTTAAAATTTCATTCAGTTCAAATGCATTTTTTAAATAATTTCAATATTATTTACGTTAAGTCAATGCTAACATTTTTTTTCAACATTTTTGAGAATGACATTTTGATTCTCTTAAAGAAAATTCAAAAATTTTCACCATCCTGACCGTATGCAAAATCCTAGTGTATGTTAGTGTTCATAATTTTTACGGTATATAAATGCTGTCGGCAACTTCTATGATATTTATTAATTAGCATTTTACTTGGGAATCAATGAAGTAAACAATATTATTTCTAATAAAGTACTTATAATAGCTCATAGACGTAAAATCAAAAATTATTCCAATGTATATTATGTACTTCAATTTATAATAAAATTAAGAAAAAAATTCAAATAGGTTTGTTAAGTAAAATTTTTTTAATTCTATTTTTTTATTCCATCCTAAACATATGCAATAAATAATATTGAAGGTTTATTAAAATTAGTTTGGACAATTTCCAATAGAAAATATTTTGTTGTTTGTTGGTATAAAAAATATTAAATTTATTTGGTCTAATATTTTCAATCTTAATCTTGACCATCTATAATGCTTTCAAAAAACATTTTTATTAAATAATGTACATAAAATATTGGACTTAAACTTAAATTAGTTAATGAATTCCCCTACTGTATGACCAATAAATTCTTCCATAATGTGTAAAATAAATGATATTAAAATTTACGATAAATGTATTTGACGAAAAAAAGTTGATCGTGTTTGGTGAAAATACCTCAAAATCAGATTGAAATTATATGTATGGTATATATATGTACGTGTTTTATACAACATGCAATATTTAATAAAATTAAATATGTATTTCGAAATTAAAGTTTAAAATTAAAAAAAAATTCAGATAGAAAATTTATGCAAAAAATAAAAATTTAGAAATTGAATACGAAAGCTTATTTTTAAAGACATTCCACTTACAACCAAATACTGGTCGAACCATTCCTATAAAAATCATTTTATTATTTAAAAAAAGAAAACAAACAAAATTTTTACAATAAGTAGACAAAAAATATTATATTATGTATACAGCTATTTACAAAAGAGATTAAAATATCCTTATCCTTATAATTTTACGATAAAATCGTGAAATTCAACTAAATCAAGAATTAAGTACCAAAAAGGGAATGGACTTTTCAATGATTACAATTAGTGAAATAATTTTCAAAAAATGTTGGGTATTACATTAAAAGTTTGAGATATTAGGCAGGTATTATAATGTTAAATAATTTACCCGAATTACCCGAACTCTTGAAGATTTGAAAATTAATTTACGTGATATACATTTAAGAATATTTGAACAGTTTAGAAAATTTTATTATAAACAAGAACAAATAAATGTATCGATTTAAAAATGTTTATGATAGGAATTTTTAATATTTAATTTTTTTACGATATTACTATACTTAGGTAGGTTCTTTAAGAATTTCCATTGTAATATTACATATTACATAATCAATAAATTATATTCAAACAAAAATTATGCTACATATATACACACACATACTCATTTTATGTTGCACTCAAATACAATTAATTCAAATATATGCATTAGTAATTTTAAGTGTATTGTTAGTTAATCATTTCAAAAATATTGTTAAGTGTAAAAAAATATTGATACCAAAACTTTATTTGTGTTACCGTAAAACTACTATAATTAAAAATAATATAAATTTAAAATAAAAAAAAAATATTTAATTATATTTTTGTAATTACTTAAATATTCAATAATTATAATTAGTATTGTTAATTAATATTTATAATTTACGATATAATTACGTTAATTTTAAATATTGTGGAAAAAAAAGTATTTTGTTAGTTTCCGATACAGTTATCATACCTGATTTAGTGACAGTAATTGTTCCCGGTATAAATCACGTTTCTTTTTTGGGAACTTCTCCTAATATTAATTTTTTTATTGTTTTTAATTGCATGTTGCAGGTATTGTTTTGATATTTTTATTATTTTTTTTTAGATTTGTTTTGTTTTTTGTATGTGTGTGTTGGTTAAAATGATGTTACACATTTATACAAAATTAAAATAAAATTGATTTTTGTTTATTTAAATTTATATATTAATTATTATAATATTAATACAATTAAAATAATAAATAAATGTAGAAAAAAAAATAAATTATTTAAGAATATGAAAAATTAAAAAATTAGAATTTTATTATATAACAATTTATAAATAGAAAAAGAAAGCAAGTTTTAAAAAAATTACATAATTTAAAAATTTTTTTTTAACCCTCTCGCACAATTTTCGGCAAAAAATGAATATCATATATTTTTTTGATAATATGTGCAGTCGCACAATTTAGCAGCAATTTTAAATTGGCTAACAAAAAATTTCAATGAATCGCAAGCGTTCTGGTGGAAAACATCGAAAATAGCAGAGGTCGGTACAGAGATTGGTATCCTACTCATCAATTCGAGTATTTAAAAACGAATAATTGTGATATCATGTAAAACTTATTATGTACGAGGGGGTTAATTCAGAAATTTCACTATTTCTAAATCTTTTAAATATCACATAATTAATTAAATTTTGATTAATAAATAATTAAAATGCAGCCATTAAAATACTAAATATTAAATTTAAATTAATATTAATTAAAAGCGCGAGTTTCTTAATAACCAAAATAATTTAAGATTTAAATAGTGAAATTTCTAACAAAAATAAATAGCATAAATTATTTAAAATTTAAATGAGTAAAATAAGTAAGTGAAAATTTAAGACGGCTCTGTATAATAGAGATAGAAAGAAGGCTATATTTGTACAGTTACATAGCTACAAAAAAAAATTTTAAATGAATTTATAAGCGATTATAGAAATTTTTGCTTTTTCAATTTCTTTATTATATAAGTGCTAACGTATACATCTATAAATGTTAAATTAATTATAAATTTTATAAAATGTAAGCGATAGTAGAAAGATAAAAAATTAATTAAAGAATTCATAAAAAAAAAAAATTGGCAAATTAGCATAATGCTTATGGTTTGCTTAGCTCTGGCATAACATTATATAAGAATTGAATTTTTGCGCTATAAGGTTACGAAATTTTAACGTGAATAAACTTTTAAAATTTTGGTGTCTTTTTTTTGGGCTACTACAAGTGTAACATGGATACCTAATAATAAATTTTTTTTTTTATACATGTAATTAATTTTAATATCGTAAAATTATTTTTATTTCTATTTTTATTAAAAATAAAATATTATTACATAAAGTTCTCGTTACAGATGAATTCCCAGTGAACTCTGGAAAAAATCTATTGCAAATTGATTGAAAACTATAAAAATATAAGATTGGTATTGGTAAGACCAACATTGAAAAATAAAATGTAAAAACAAATGCGTTCTATTAAGAAAATTTAAAAGAGCGCGATCGGATCGGATTGTTTGTAGACTACTAAAGCTATAGAATAGCATTTCTATTGTTCTTAGTTATAGACTCTATTACTATTATACACTTTATATTGTATTATAATTGCAACAACTTTAATATTTATCGAAATCAACAGCTTTGTCTTAATTTTGCTATAGAAAAAGTATGAGTATTTTTAGACATATGAATCGATACGAAGCAATTTTACGATATTAACGTTAAATTTAAACTATGTATGTAAATTGAAGCTAAAATTTTGGTTCTAAAGCAAAATGAAATATCCAAAATAATGCAAAATATTAACAAAGTATTAAAAAATTTTTTAAATTAAAAAAAATAAAATATAGGAAGGTTATTGTAACCAAAAAATTTTATAAAAGCATTTTAATATTAAAAAAAAATAATGTGGCTTAGGAAATTTATCTTAATGTATTATTTGCTTTATAAAGAATAGAATGTGAAATCTATATGCAATGTAAGCATTCATATGTATATATAGTATGTAAATTTGTGAACATTCACCTTTATAATGTATTATAGAAGAGATATTACAAAAAAAAAAAACAAAATGGTTTAATTAAAGAAGAAAAAGAAAATATTTTGTTTGAAAAATTAAAAACGAAAATGAATGGGACAAAATCCTAGTTATTTCAACGTCTTCCTGTATTTTTCTACATATTAGCCATTATGCCATAAAATTGTTCTAATACCTACTGTTTTTTTTTTTTCTTTACGCCTTACGTACAAATGGAATGTATGTATGTATATGAGCACATATATACATATGATAAAGAATATAACAAAATATATATGTATATATAAATTTAAATTACAACTCTTCATTAATTATTTTGTTTTTTATTTTTACCTGGAATGGACTATGTTTTCCACTTTTTCCTGAATCTTTTGTTGAGCCACCTTTACCACCATCCTTTGATTCTTGTTCGCCTTTCTTTGATTTCTGTTTTTTCTCTTTTTTCTGTTTTGGTGGTGGTTTTGGTTTACTACTTCCATTACAGCAACTGCTCTCTGTATACATTAATATATGCAATGCAAAAAGAACAGAACAAAAACAAAAAACAAAAATATAAAATTACAAAACGGTATAAAAACAAATATGTAACGGGATTGATATATGTTTTTATTTTTTTTTTGTAGTTACAAACAGGTTGATAAACAGGTAGTTGTCGTTGTTGAACAAAAATGATTATATAACATTAATGATGATTGATGGTGATTGATGATGATTATGATGACGATATAGAATTGGATTGTGTAAAATATATGAAAAAATAAAATGTTAAATGAAAAGAAATAATTTTAAAAGAATATGTTAGGAGATTTGTAGTACCTATGTGAATACATTTGCGAATAATATTGTATGTATATAATGCATATGTGTTCAGTATATGCAAATATACTTGTATTTATAACATAATGTCTTACATTATAATACCATCAATGATTAAAGTACACATAAAACTTTTATTTTTAAAAAGGAAAGAAGTTGAAAACAAAAAAAAATGGGAATGTAAATATATATATATGAGTATATAAGAGCATATAATGTGTATATGAACACATTTGGAAAGTAGAGCAAAAATTTCTACTTTTATTTTTATTCACTTCATCCATCCCCCAAAAGAGTAATGGAGGCAGAAATAACAAAAAAAAAAAACAAAAACCTTGCATTAAAATGGCTTATAATTTTAAGAGCCAGGATGTGTACATTATAATCCGTTAATGTATTTTCATTTTCTTTTCTAGATCTTATAACTTAAACAGACTTTCATATTTTATAAGAATATTATACATAATATATGTATGTGTTTATATGTGTGCATATTTACAGATTTGAACATTAATTCTATATTTACAATTTTGTTCTTATAATATTTGTCCCAGGTAGCATAATTTTGCTTATGCTTATGCAAATATTTAAAATCTCATAATTTTTTTATACAATTTAATAAATTAAATTAAAAATCTAATTTGAATTTATAATTTTACTAGATTAAATTTTATTTTCAATATATGATGCAAAATATAAAGCAAGGAGCTATTTGCTCTATGATGTCAAAGTAACTAGTGAAACAAGATTTTAAATTTCATCTTAAATCTTCAAATTCATCTTAAATTTCAATAGAACTCAAATTATTATACTATATTTCATATTTTCAAAATGTTGACTAATACAAGTGTCTAAAATTAAAAATTTGATTGAAATTTTGAATTACGTTTTATTAAGAACATGAATTTGTACGTATGTATGTACATATGTATTATTGAATTGATAATATAATATTTATTGAATTGATGTTCAAATTTTGTTGAACGAAATTATGCTAGAGTAGCTATAATACAAAACTTATAACAGTTCATTCATAAAGTACTATAACATTTCAAATAATTTACATTGCACTTTTCATATTTAATTTACATTTAATGCTGTCTGGGGTTACTTTTAAAATCAAACCATATATTTATAACTTTTATACATATACATAGTATATTGTAATACATAATAAGTATATAATATTAAAATTTAAAATTCTTATATATATAGGAAAAGAAATATAAAATTTCAAAATATAATTTCGGTTGAATAAACTTAATTTTATACCTAAAAGCAACCAGACAATATTACAAGTATAACAAAAATAGATAAGATTTGAAAATAAAAAATATTACAATTTTTATGTATAATATTCTTTTAAAATATAATAATTTTAGTCATATAATATTAAAGGTATATTTATTTATTTAAAATCATATACTTACCCTGTAATAAGAAACAGAATACGTAAAGTAAAAACAGGATACTGGCCCCATATAAGTATGTAAAGAATGCTTCATAATATAGGATAGGCAATCGATGTGTAGTGACGTCACTTATCACAAAAGCGATGCATACAACTATTAATATCATAGCATACACCAAACTGGTGACGATGAATAATGATGTCCTATATATCGTATAAAAAAATAATAATAGAAGAGGAAGAAACAAAAAATAAAAAATTATTAAAACAATTTTTAAAAATTTGAATTTTTTTTAAATATAAAATAATTTGTATAAGGATAGGTTTGTGATAATAAAACTACTGTGATTGATTGTGGTAGTTTTTTTTTGTGATTTCAACAATCTTTTACAATTTAAAATATTAAAGAAAATGCATAAATATTATAAATTCATAATGAATATTATTAAGTGTGAAATTGTGAATATCCTTTTTTAAGGATAATAAAGAATTTTTGTTTTTTTTTTTTTGGAATTATAGATTATTGTTTGTTTTTCTTAACACATTATTAAACTAATATTATGAAAAATATTATTTAAAAATAAATTTGTGTGCAATTTTTTACAAAATATCAACACCTTCACCATATTTAATTCTCACCACGCTGAAGTAAAAATATTTAAAGATTTTATAATAGAATAAAATATTTGTATATTTTTCTCTTACATTTTGTTAAAACTACTAATTTTCTCTTTAGAATTCCTCAATTTAATTAATACAGACATTTTAAATTATTATTTTTAAAATCTCTCTATTGACCATTTCAACTCTTCCCCTTATAATCGGACTCATGATAGTATTGAATAATGAATTTTTCAAATTTTTCTCATTTGTAATTTATTTCAATTTCTCAATTGTAAGAGTTTCAATTACATTTTTCTGTCTGAAAATTACCAATCATTGGAATCTAATTATGGTCGTTTCATATGAACTTCTATTTCTTATAAAAGCGGAGCTTTAGGTCAATGATTAATTGTTATTCTAAATACCTAAATTTCTTGTATAGAGAAATAAATCTCAAATTTTAAAATAAATTGTCAGTAATTTAAAAATTTTTTTAATTCAATATAATTTTCATTATTTTTTTCATAATATTTTTTAAGTTGAATAATGTGTTAAGAAGTGAATATTTTTAAGATCTTAGAAAATATATTTTTACAAGTACACACTATTATATAGTTTATATACAAAAAAAAAAAAAGAAACCAACGAAATTTTTAAACCAAAAACTGAATGAGAAACCCAAATAGTAAAAAAAAAAATTTAATAAAAATTTTTTATTAAATTGCAAAAAATATAAGTGAAAATCACATAATTAAAAAACTAAAATGCAAAGAAATATTTAATAAGAATCTTTAAGGATAACGTTATTATCTTTGCTAAATAGGACTAAAAAATAAGGAATTTTTTTATATAAAAGTATAAAAATTACTTACTTAAAGAATAAGTGTATAAGTGTGTGCATTTTTGTGTGAATAAGGGCCTTTTTTTTTTAAACTAAAATTATACATCTAATCTTGTTTTTTTTTTTACATTTAAGTGAAATTATTATAATTTTCTATATTATGTTAACACACACACACACACATCTATAGAATATGTGTGTATGTTTGTTATGCAATAATTATTAAGGGAAGTTTTATAAATAGGACAAGTATATTATGACTACTTAGTACATTATGGTAGTGTATATATGCTTTTTATTGTACAAATCTTAAAAAAGAAGACCTAGTTTTGGTGTGTTTTTTCTTTCGTTTTAAATTTTAATAAAAAAGAAAAACAAAAAAAGAGTAAAGAAGAAAAAAATTTTATACTAAACTATACATTTTATATATAAAATTCTTATATACTTAAGCTATAATGCAATATATTAATAAACAAATTATATTTCAGGCACTTTTGATGAGTATAAGTTGTACACGTATATAGGCACAGTAATATTATATGAAAATATAAAACAAATGAGCCTATTTCTAGGGGATTTAATTCAGACCCTTTAGTTTATTAGAAAAAGGGAACGCCTACAGCTTTTACGAGAAATTTTAATATCTTTCAAATATATCGGTGCGGTAATTATCATGGTATTTATAGCTCCAGCTCAAATATTTTTTCTTAAATTATGGTAATAAGAATTCGAACCAATAAAAAATTCTATTCACACGAACTCATAGTATTTATGTACCGCATCTGTTTTAGTACCCTACTGTTAAGAAATTCGACTATATAATTAATAATCCAAACCGGATTTTCAAGATCAGACAAAAATCTGACTTAATGCAATTAATGGACGATATAATGTTTTTTATAATCATATATTTTACGTGAGGGTACGGTAATGAATTTAGTTAAATTTTAATCGATTATACACTGATACTGCACACAGCTTTTATCGAAATTGTTGTGCAACTGTATGAGTTATAAGCTAACATTCAAATTTGTCTTGCATATTATTGGAAATTAGTGGCGATCATCGAATTGCACAATATGTAACTATCAATATTTTTTGTTTTAATACTTTGAGGCACAATTCCGAATTTACCATATAAGTAGTTACATTTTATTCCGCATATATCTGTGTGCATATTTCTACAGTAAATTTTTAATATTAACTATTAACTGCAGTTGTATAATATACTCTACACTGTGCTGTTGTATTTAAAATTGTATGTGTGCACTTAATTTTTATTCCATATTATACAAAAACCTATTTTTACATACTTATAATATTACTTAAACAATAAGATATAAAAGAACAAGGAAGAAAAAAAAAATATTAGAAAACGGTATAGGGAGAGCCCTCCGTATACTTTTAAAAAAACTTTTTGGTGCATATTAAAATATTTTCGAGAAACGAAGTAGAAATTTTTGAATTTTAAATCTAAAATACTTGAGAAATTATACGTGGAATATATAGAAAGAGAATTGAGGTAAAAAGGATATTTTTTTTTTGTATTTATATACCTATATTTTATCATTTATATATACATATATACTATTCATTAATATTATAATTTTTTTTCTTATACCTTTCAAGAATATAATTACCAAACAATAAAAAAAGTAAGAATTCTATATATAAAAAACATTATGTATAACAGTTATAATATGTGTTATATAGAGATAATTATGCTAAAAATAAAAATTATGTATGTAGTCCAGGGGCTTTCATTATTATATTCTATTGTTTTAAATATTTTAATATGTTCTTGTAAATATATTCATATATATATGTATACATGCTACAATCATAGTAAAAAGAATAGATTCAAAGATTTATTGTTTTAAAATATAGGTTGATCTTGATGTCCTTTATGCTCATAATATTTTATATATATATACATATATACAAAGTATATATAACAAAAACAGAGAAATTAAATATTTTTTTTTTTTTACTTTTAATTTAATAAGTATTTAAAGAAAGAAATTTATAATTATATATTTATAAAAATAATCACAGCTTAAGGGCAGCATAATAAATATTAGAACGGAAGTATAAGGAACAATAATCTTGACTTTGAAAAAAAAATTTATATTCTCTTTGCATATAAGCATTATATTGTAGTGTAGTGTAGTAATGAAAAACTTAAAGAGATTTTAAACACGTTAAAAGAGAAAGTGGATATTTTAACTCAACATAATTGAAAAGTTTACAAACATTTTATTAGCAACAAAATTTCAACAAAAACAAAACAATGTTAATTCAAATTTATAATTTGGGATGGTTAGATGTAAATTTTAGTAGTTTTCTTTTGTCCTCATATATGTGAGTGTATTGTTGAGTACAATTGGAAATTGGAATTATGATTTTTACAACATTCTTTGATTTATTTTAAATTATTAATTAATAAATTATATGAACTCTATATAATATGCATTTGCTATTTATATTTCCTAATAAATCTGTTATATATTGCATATTGGTTCGATCAAATTAACATTTTAATATGTAAAGGTGTTCTTTTACTATTTCTCATAATTATTTTTTTTATATAAAAATCATTGAATCCGGACATTTTAATTAAATTTTTAAAATAAAATACTTATACTAGAATTTTCTAGTAATTTCTTATCATTTCAAATTTAAAATGCTTTTTATAAAATTTCTATTATAAAAATCCCATATATAAAAAATATATGTCAGCTTATTTGATTCCTGAATGCTTAAAAAACTATGTAAAACGTAATAAAATATACTTTTACATTAATAATTTATTAGCCATGTAGTGTGTGTGTGTCTTTATGTAAAAAGTCTGAAGAAGATTCTTGACATATATAAGAAATAGATATTTCTGCACATAGAACTATGAAAAGATAAAAAAAATAAAGCCCTGAATATCATAAAAAACAAATGAAGACAGCAGCAAAAAAAAATTTTTTTTGTTCTTACAAAAGGACTTTTTAAATAACATTAATATTACGATGTAGCATCCTCCTAAATAAACATTATACAACATTCTGTATGATTAATAGAGAAATTAGTGTTAATTATTAAAATTTTTGAGTTCATTCGTTTACATTTTGCTTTCTGAACAACGTTTCTGCCGTCATAGCCTTTTCAATACAAAATCTCTTTTATATATAGAAAGGTTTAAAATATTTTTTATATTTAAGGCGGTAAAAATATTATTGTATAAAATTCGTGAGGAATTACAAATTCCTTACAAGAATTACATAATTTAATTTTAAATTACAGTACTATTTTATTCAGCAATCAATTTGCTTAGACGATTTGCTTCAATCTAAACGTGGTGTAGTCTCTCTCTCAATATTAGACAACCATAAATCTACAACACAACACAGTCAACCTATAAGTGAAGTCCATTTCTGTTTACTCTTTTATTGTGGTATATTTAGTGGTTCATTCACAGTTTTAGAATAAAATTCATTGAGTTCATCCATTGACTTTAATTTCATTTGGGTTCTGTCTGCTACAACAAAATATCTATTAAAGTATTTGTAAAATTTTTGAGAATGAATTTTTTAAATACATTAGTGTTATCATAATTTTTATTTAAATATAAGTTCGAATTAAAACAACTTCTAAATAAATTTCATGTTTCGTTTCACTAATCATTCACCTATACCATTTACACATTAACATATATATATTAATTGATTGAAGGCTAGTATTATATCATACCATACTTATATGGTTAAATAGA